GGGTACGGGGGCCCTTACCGTCTAGGAGGAGAAGCGGTAACGGTAGCCGTCCGGCGGAGCCGGCGGAGCCGGCGGAACGATCCGGACGGGACCAAAACCATGTGTACCGCCAGCGCTAACGCTGGTGGTACAATTAAAATAGAACTGGCAGACGGCTCACTGGATGTATATTTTCTCAATGGTTTTGGTATACCTTGGCCATTATGGGGAAACCTATGAAATTACCTGTAATTCTTTTTACTATATAAAGGTCCAAACTGCTTTGTTTGTCTTAACTTGGTCTTTCATCAAAGACCTTTCAAAAATTATGATTGTCGTGACACATTCTACTCTCAGTGGTGACAAAAGCCGAGGAAGGGATAGTTTAACATTGGTTACAGGATATTCCACTAGAGGGCACCACGGACACGTTCCAGTACAGTCAGCTACATTCAATGTGGGCCAGTCCTTGGCTATCTGAATTTGGCAGTCTAAGCTTAGCAAAGAAGTTTTTTGTAAAACAGCCCCCTGATTTATATGCTTTTATTTACAATTAATTCAACAGTTGAATGATTTATTGTAGTCTTTATTACAAGCTCATTCTACACTACAGTACACAATGGTATAAAAATATGCTATAGCAGAAAATAATGACACTACAGTTAAAAATATCTATCAGAAATGTAGGTCATGAAAGATATTGCACTGAAAATCAAATTCACTAACAGTTGAGCACATAGATGGAAAAAAATGAAAGACAAGTCTATCACAGATTTAGCCATATGCAGATTGTCTATGCACTTTGAGAAAATGTGGCAGAAAATTGGATATAAGGGAAAACTGTCTTTAACAAATTGCTTGAGCAAATTTTAAAGTTATAGAATGCTTGATATACTTAGCTTGGTTTTGAGGCAAAATGTATTTTGCCATGATGACGTCTGAATTAGATACTGCATTCAACTTTATCACTTTTGTTGAATCACACTTATGCTTTCACTTGGTAAAAACATGCCTATATTTATGATTCTACCATGTACTCCGCTTTGCACTTAAAACATACCAGACGACATCAACTCAACTGAGCTATTAATCACATTTAATTGTCATGAAAGACATGCTTTTTTAATTAAGTAACTTTGAAAGAATATGAAGAAGACTGCGATCTTTAAAATCTTGAATTTAGATATTATGAGTATCAAGAAAGCCGATTACAAAATCTATTGCCTTAGCAAACTATAAAATACTACACTCACTACAAAAGCATAGTGTGTATGAAGCTTTACTGCATAAAAATCTTAACAGCAAAATCACAATAAGTCAGCTCACAGGAAAGATGTCTATGCCTCTTTAAGATTTATCATTATACCAACTTTTTAGCTATATTTAGCTTTAAAAGGTTAAATTCCTTTTTTGTGTATAATTTCATATTTTCTCTCTTAATCAATTTTCCATTATTAATTGCCATTGCATCTGTTCAACATATATTATTGCTTGTGTCAACATGTTAGGGAATGTGGAAAGTTCAGCAAATGTCAGAGATTTTCATAATTTACACATCTGCCAATTGTCTTGATTTCTTCTTGAAAAAAGCCAGAGTGTCTTCATAATAGTCCTCAGACAGCCAGAAACACTGAACTGGGTCCACCGAGTTGGACCTGAGAAATAGAAAAGTTTTTTCAACAGAATATATCATACATACATTCAGAAAACAATTCGAGGGTTGTGCTTCTCAAAAGCTTGTAACTTGCAATAAATTGTAACTATTTACATGAATACCAACTAGCGTGAATAAACAGACATTACATAAAATGTGACAAGAAATCATAAGTAACACCCTTTTGAAATTACAACCCTGTTACTCTATAGAGCACAAGATATAGGAAACAGCACAGTAGTGATCATATGTAATAATCAGTGTCCTGTGTCCTTTGAGACTTTGTCTTATCCTAGAAGTCATTATTATTATAATCAAATTCCCATTAAGGCCCGTCTCCCAATTTTTCATCTCACCTGGTGCCATCACTGAACCTGACCCCAATCCTGTCACTCTCCACCGCTGTCACGGTGCCAGGGAGGTACAGCAAAGTGTCGTCGTCTGCTACTGCCAGCACCCGCTCGCCAACACATAGATTATGCCGCTTGGTGCACGCACCAAACATGTTAGTTGCCATGACAACAGCCATGTTTCCGTCTGCCCATTCCACTACATACTGCCTCCCATTACCAATGCGATCCTTAACTTCACCTGGAAATGTTTTAATCATAGAAGTTAAGTGCATCTTTAAGTATTTTTGACATTGTTTTTATGTTTAGCAGTTTTATTTATTTGTACAATGAAACTTCAAGAAGAAATATATATTATATATATAGAGAGAGGTAAATGTTTGTAAAATTTAACAAAAAAAGTAAACTCAACACCTTTAAAATAAGTTATCAATAAATAATTTAAAGGACAAGTATTTCTAAAATCTTACAAATTAAAAGAAGAAAAAAAAGATTTAAAAAAATTGGTAAACTTCCTACCTAGATGATAAGTTCCCAGCAAATCATTCCTTGCGACTACTGCCTGGCCCACCCACTGGTCTTCTGACTTCAAGATATGGTCCACATCGTGCTCAAATTTCTCTGGCGCCAACCTGTATACCTCTTCCCGGGGCAACTTGGCTTCTGAACCATCGTAAAAACGTACCGTCAACTGTAAATCCTCGTACAGCGACAGGACGACAGCTGGTGCATAACTAAACGAGAAGCTGGGATGACGGGCCACAACTGTGTCTCTTTTCTGAAATATTTATTTTACACTTCTTTTAAATAAGACCTTTTGGCAATTTAATTTGAAAAAATAAGATATTTTTAAATATTTAGTAAATGAAATTTAATTAATACAGTGATATTATAAATGAACAATATACTCACAGCATAAATGTTAAAACAAATAGGGAGTGATACAGTTGCTCCTTTCAAACTAAAAACCTAATACATGAAGTAAAATAAGACCATCACATTTTATAATTTTGACAATACCTGTAGCACTTGTTGTGCATCATCATTATCAGTGATAATATCCTCCCTGTAAATCCTTTCCACGTCTCCTGCTCCATCTTCAACAAAATAGCTGCAGTCCCCACAATTCTCGCTTATTGTACCTGAAAAGCAATAATAAATCTAAAATATAAGCAATGCAATTACTACTACTACTAATAATATAATAATAATATAATATACTTATAACGATATAAAGAATCAAAATCAGCTGGATAGCAATAAATGGATCATATTTTGATTTTCTTTTGACCATGGTTGACTTTATAATGTAGTATAACGTACTTAGGTGTTTAAATAAAACTGGAAATGCTTCTGGCTGATCTAAGAATTTTGACAGCTTCATGTAAAACCAATTTTGAAAAAATTCTTGCCCAATCAATTTTTTAAGGAATGAGGACTGTAACATTTGTTATAATTTCAATGTTGTTGGATCCAGAATGCAATTGCTTAAATATGTCAACAACTTTGCCACATACACAGAAAAATCATTTTTTAGTGTGGAATTTCACGACAGCAGGCCAAAGTCTAGATATATTTCAATCATAGCTAATTTCAAGAGTTCTCTCCACTAACTCTCACAAGATTGAATCTAAACATTCAGAACAGTATTATAAGGATGTGAGTAAATATATATAACAGTATACCTACCTCTATAATACCAACCGTCATCTGACCAACGTGCCAATACCTCCTCTCCAACATCAGCTGGTGGCAACGACTGCCTCAATCTCACTATGGAGGGAATAACTATGGGCCGATTAACAGCTGTGATGAAAAAAAATACATGAACATAAAAAGCATAGAGTGGCATTTTCTACAGTGCTAGACAAATTGCTTTCTATTATGTTTTTAATAATTATCAATGAAAAATGAATAAACTTTTAAGTAAAAAAATAATTACTAGTGTAAACAGTGTAAATATGTTACATGTATTCATACCAGGTTGATGATGTTCAGGTTCACTGTTATTGTCCTCACTTTCTTCACTCTCATTATCAGAATCCTTTGCTGATCTCCTCTGATTGTTTTCATTATCAGAATCCCTGACTGTTCTCCTCTGATTGTTTTCATTTTCAGAGTCATGACTGTCTGAGGACCTCCGCTTTTCTTCATCTTTCTTCTCATCTTCCTTGTCTGAGGAGTTCTGATCTGAGAGCCACTCTTCTGTGCGGCTTTTCTTGGATTGTGTCTCCTCCTGGTTTCTTGAATCCAGAGACTCCTGTAAAAATGTTTAATAGCTTTATTAAAAAAATAAGTTTTCAAATGTTAGACACTATAAGAAGAGCTTTTAAAACACATGGCTTGAAGTATTTCAATAATTTATCTATTTATTATTTAATGACTCAGTGAATCAACACAAATACAATTAGAATTTTAAAGTTAATACATAAAACTACCAGATACAAATCTGACAGACAGAGACGTACAGTTGTACAACATTCTGGCACCTTACTTTACACAACAATTTTCATCTGACAAGTTCATGAAAAAATAAATACCTTGCTTAATGTTTTTCCACCCTTTTTCGCAGCCTTTCTCTGTTCTTTCTGTAGTCTTTTCTGTCTCTTTGCCAACTTTCTTGCCTGTCTTCTCAGTTTCTGAATAACAATGAAAATCATTTAAGTAATGTGCTTAAAACACAAAACATCATATATACTGAACAAAAATATAAACGCACAAAACTAAAATGGTTGGTTGAAATGGATAATCATGAAATATGCCAAGGTTGATGGTTTATTTGTGAACTGATGGATTTGTTTGGATTAAGTATAGTGGTCTGGTTTCACTTGGCCGCTCCCAGTGAGTATACTCAAAGGTTCAGTTTTTACACCCATAAGACTAATGGAGCATGACGGAGTGGAGGTCAATCTGCAAGACCAATACACAGACACTCTCTACCGTCTAGGCAATAAAAGGACACCAAAATGTGTATTTCTGTCACTTGTCAACATGCCACAGATGTCTGGAACTGTGCAATCAGCATGCTCAATGCTGGCTGGTCAGTTTCAGAAGTTGCAGCATGCCTGAATGTGCATCATTCCACTGTCAGCCGTCTGGGAACACACTTCAGAGACACTGGTAGCATTAGGAACCACCCTCACACACCATGTCGCCCATCAAAGACCTGTGGAATGTTCTGGATCAGAGTTTTCAGCCATCATGTTCCAGCTCTCGAGAATGTTTGCCAACTGCAAGTAGCACTCCAGGAGGAATGGGATAATATCCACCAGGCCTCTATTGACAACTTAGTGATGTCCATGCCCCGCTGGTGAACTGCTCTGCACAAATTTAATGGTGTCTGTGAACTCAGGATGTTGACCCCCATGCTGTATTTGATGCCATAACTCTTGGACTATGCATTTAAACTTCCCCTAATGCTCTCAAAGTGATGTCTGTTTGTCGAGAAAAATATGCTGTTATTTTTGGCTATACTCTAGTTCCATATATGAAAATAAATCTACATATTCTTTCGTGCATTTATATTTTTGTTCAGTATAGATGACATAAAAAGGAAAATGTCTGTTAAAAAACAGGGGAAAAAAAACAAATAATGAATAGATAAATACATACTCGTTGTTGATGATTATGTTTCTCTATGTGCTCTTTCAGTGTGTTCTGCAGACTTTCCAACTTCTCCTGGTGTTCTTTGAGAATATGCTTTGTTGCATTAGTTCTGTGAGTTGCTATCAGCTCCTCATTATCTGGAATCGATCCATTTGAATATAGTCAACTTATATATCATATAAAGAATAATTCCAATTTTAAGACATTGGTTCTGCATTGAAACAATTAAAAGATAAAAGAACTTTAAGTATGGAGACATCCATGCATGGTCCTTGAACTTCTACTAAGGTTATGTGACCTCAAAAGGCAGGTTAAGATGACCCCTATCAACTGGAACCTCAATAGGCTTTATCTGTTCCAAATTAATTTGTTCTAGCACATCTCCCTCTTAACTTTACACATTCACAACAATGAAACATTCTATTAGTGGAAGATTTAGGTACGTCACTTCCACAACTCTGCTCACATTGGCCATAATCAAGTTTACTTACTGTAATGTGCTCTAACATATCTAAACAACTAAGGTTCTTTTTTTTTTCAAAAGGATAATCAATTACAAAATGAAAACTGAAATTACCAGATTCCCTTGACCTTGATCTTGACCTTGACCTTGGTGAACCAGACCTTGATGACCTTGATGAACTACCACCATCTGATTTGGCTACTCCACTACGGATAAAAAACATTTTATGAATATAGATGAGAACTTAGTCTAATATTTCAACAATAAAAAATTAGATACTGGTAAAATAACTGAAATTAATCTGCAGCATATTACAAGAACTGAATTTTAAGGCAAAATACAGGTACATTGGTTTTTGTACTTACTGTTAAACATAATCTGTTTAAGTTCAAAGAATGCAACATTTTCCCCAATAACATATATCGTAAAAACTGAAAAGCTTAAATACTTTAAATCTATCTTCATTAACTTGTGCTCTTTAAAAACAGACAGATGATAAAGCAACATTGGTTAAATACAGCCAAAATACTACCACTAACACTGACCCATCATGCATATGTGTTTTGTCATGGGTGCTACGAGGGGTTGGAATAATCTCAAGCTGGACACTAAAACAAAGAAAATAAATGAGTGACTGTGTAACACACTGAGCTACATAACACAGTGATATCAAATACTTGTGTGGATTTGTGTCAACCTTATAAACTCAGGGTATAAAATGTGCAGTGTAAAAATAGTCAAATAATAGTTTAAACACTGAAAGCACCAAACATTAAGTCAATGTGTATATAAAATATATGGAACTAAAAGAGAATTTATGGTCTGAAAAGCTGGAGAATTAATTAACTGCATAAAAGTACCTGTCCTCATTCTCGTAGCCCACTTCACTGATATACCTCACAGCAAAGGCGTATCTGGTCTTACTGATTTTGATGAGATAATTCCTCATACATGTGGCCTGAAGTGAAATTAGAACACAATAAAATAAAGTATATTATAGCCAGAGGAAATAGATCCTTTGATCTGCTACATAACATCTGTAAAATATGTATTAATTTCATTTCATTTCACTCAGATAAAAAAATTAACATGCCTCCTCTTGTTTCCATTGAATTCTTATAACTGCAAGCTTTTCCTGTATCTCACTCAATGCTAGGAGGACAGGTGCTAATCTCTTAATCTGACTGCATTCAGTGAGAGTCCCCATGGAGTTTGATCTCTGTAGACTGATAGTTTCAGCTTCAGCAAAACAGGTTTTATTGCCCAAACCGGTGACAGCAGTGCCATGTACATCAATATCAAAATATCTGGTAAAGTTGTGACTATATAATTTTGCTGTACCCTGTACCCACCTCCTGCCCAGTGTAAAGCTGTATACAGTAAAGTTGTGACTATATAATTTTGCTGTACCCTGTACCCACCTCCTGCCCAGTGTAAAGCTGTATACAGTAAAGTTGTGACTATATAATTTTGCTGTA